GCTCGCCTCCCGGAGCGGTGGGGAAGCGCAGCGAGCTTGCGATTGCGCGCCCATTCGCGAGACGCAAAGGACGCAGCGCCGCGCAGCCAAAGCCCTCGGGGGGGTCGGTGCCAGCCCCCCCGAGCCAGAGGGCGATGCACGGGCTGTACGGGCGCTGCGTGAGGACCTGGCAGGAGGCACCACCCCATGGAGCCCCGTTTGCCAGGGCGAGAGTTCGTTATCCCCACATGCACTTAATTACCAGCTCCCTCCCTCCCTCCCAGCGCCGCCTGGCTGCAGGCTGCCCCTGCCTCCCTCCTGCCCGTCCCCGAGTCCAGGCCTGAGCAGCCTCCAGCATCAAGGGCCGTTCCCTCTCCCAGACTTTCTGAACTCGGGGCTCGGGGTTTTTTTTTCTGCTGTAAAAATGCAGATTCCCCAAGAGTGCAGCATTTCACACAAGTTTGCCCCTTCCAGCACAACTTCATTTGTTAAAAATGACGCCCTGATAAGGCAGCTGGGGGCTTCTCAGAACATCCATTGTCTTTCCTATTTCACTGTTTTTAAAATGTCACAGATTTTCAGAAATAAAATCGGAAGGGATGCTTTAATCAATCCAAAACAAATGTTTGGGTTTTTTCCCTCCCAAAATTCTGCTTGGCAGAATTTTCTGATGTTCCTTGTCTCGCTCCATTTCAGAGTAACTGAACCCAACTGGAGCTTTTCTCACGAAATGGAAGATCTTGGTCTCGCAGAGAGAACCTCAGCCTTTCCCAGGCACACAAGGAATTTTCCCCCCTTGTTGTGCCATGCCACTTACCAACACCACAGCGACCATGGGACGGGTTTCGGTGCGTGAGCTCCGAGGGAGGCCCGTGGGTACCGCAGCAAACGCAGGGGGAGATGGAGCCACCAACCCAGGGGGGCCTGGGACCCTGCACGGCGAGGGGCCCCCTTGGCGGTCAGTGCCCTTGGCCCTGCTCTCCTTCCACTTTCTCCTGCTGATAACACCTGCTCTGAGCTGGGTATTTGGCAGGAGAATTAACGAGAAGTAATTAGCTCAGAGTGTGAAAAAGGGAGTGCCTGGTGTTTATCTTGTCTGGAGGGTTTTCCTTGATCTCAGGCTCCCAGGGGATGGTGTCCGTGTGTTATCCGCCGGCTCCCGCCGAGGCAGCCCCCCACCCCTCCCGGAGAGCAGCGCCCCAGCTCGCCGGCGCTGGACAGGGGACAGGCAAGGTCCCTGGTGAGGTGGCCCATCACAGAACGTTTTACCTTTTCCAGCTTTCCCAGCATCTTCCCTCCAGTGACGAGGGGCTTTGGCTACGGCTGCAGTCTCCATCCTGCAACGCCGCTGCCTCGTCCCAGCTCCTGGCAGCGCAGGCAGGGACACATCGGCCGTCCCCGTCCTTGCTGGGGCCAGGCAGGATGGGCAGAACAAATTCAGGGCCAGGGTACCCGAGACCCCCGTGCCATCGGCCAGCTGGTAGGATGCTCCCCGGCCCTGCTCGCCGCGGGAAGGAACCAGCCGCTCTGGCAGCCCAGCACGAGCGAGACAATTAAACACCCGCGGTCGGCGTTGCTCGATGAGCTCCCGGTGGCTCTTCTTTCCTAAATGGCTTCTGCCATCTCCTTGTCCCCCTGCTGCAGGATGAAAGGGTGATAAGCAAGCCTGTGAAGGTAACGCTCGCTGGCCCTCGGAGCCGGGGCTTGCAAAGCCATGGGGAGCCGGGTTTATTATCCTCAGCTCCAGCCTGAGATGACCTTGTGCTTCTGCCAGCATTTAAACAAAATATTTTAAAAGAGGGAACAGATCCCATTGCTTTCCGTGCTCGCAGGGCTTTCCTGAGCCCGCGAGCTCTCTCTGGGGCTGATGGAAGTGATAGAACATGGCCAGAGAGAGACAATGAAATATTGCCCAAGCTTATTGCTTTTTATTATTATTGAAGGGAGGTTCTTACTTGCAGTCTGGGGGGTTGAACAATTTGAATCCTACCCAAACCTCATCCCTTCCAGCCAGAATCACAGCTCTGCACGCTGTGGCACATCATCCTCCGGCACCAGCAGCCGCTGCCAGGCTGGGGCGAGCGGGCGGCGCAGGCAGGGGCTGACCGGGGTGGAAAACTCCACGTTGTCCAGGCTGGTACGTGGCAGAGCTCGGGGTCCCTCCCTGTGTCAGTGGAAATCTGCCCGTGGGGCTCAGCTGGGCTCTACCCGACTGTTCTCTGCACGTTGTCCTTCTGCTCCACACTCCTGCCCTCTCCCCACCGCTGCGGGGAGGGGACCGGGGCGCAGGCAGGGCACGGCGTAGTTCTCCCAGTCATCCAGTTTCAGGGCACGATCCTGAATGTTCACCAGTGCCAGAGATGCACAGAGGGGACAACAGTGAGAACAAGGTCTGCAGCAACAAGAGATGAAGCCTGCTCTTCTTTCTCCCCCACCTGAGCACCGCGTGGGTGCCCATGCCAGGGCCCTCATCCCCACGGCGTGTCCCAGCCAGCGTGGGGGCAGGAGGCATTGCAGAGCCCGCGCCAGCCATGCAGGGCTCAGCCGGGCTCCATTCTGCTGCGCTCAGCAGGGCCAGGCTGTGGCGCGGGGCTGGGATGTAGGGAAGAGGGTGGGAGGGAGGTTTTGCACATCAGCAAGTTCCTCTGCTGCTGCCCCAGGAGCTCACAGAGCACCAGGCTCCCAGGGGCGCGGGCCCCATGGCTCGCAGCACCCATCGCCCTCTGTCTGCTGGGGAGATGGGCTCCCCAGGGACCCCCGCTCCCTGCGAGCTTCGCCTGCCCCGGGCTGGTGCGGCTCAGGATTATTTTGCTAAGCACAAAGACCAAAGCCCAGGGGCTGCGATGGCTCAGCAGTGCCCTGTCCCTGCATCCGCAGCCCCGGGCAGGTCTCGCTGTGCAGCCCAGCGGCGTGCTGGCCGTGCCCAGGGGATGCTGCACGGCGGGCACACTGCGGCGGGGGGACGCCCTCGGCAGAGAGCAGAGCAGCTGTGACACAGCTGGACAGAAGAGAGGGAAAGGTGGGCTTCAGTAGGAGACACCCCCCAGCAGGGGGAGGCTCCGGGGAGCCAGAGCCCTTGGCGGGCAGCGCGGTAACGCGGCACCGTTCTCTCTCGCAGGTACATCGGGGCGCTGGGCGCGAGGGTGATCTGCGATAACATCCCCGGGCTGGTGAACAAGCAGCGGCAGCTGTGCCAGCGCTACCCCGACATCATGCAGTCGGTCGGGGAGGGAGCCAAGGAGTGGATCCGCGAGTGCCAGCACCAGTTCCGGCACCACCGCTGGAACTGCAGCACCCTGGACCGGGACCACACCGTCTTCGGGCGGGTCATGCTGCGAAGTAGGTTCTGCCCCATCCCCTTCCCACCGCCACGTGCCTTGTCTCCCGGGGAGAGTCTCTCCTCTCCCGGGGCTGCCGTGCCCGGTGGCTTGGATTACTCCCTTGGGAGAGCTTTGCCTTCCCCTGTAAATTAATCAAGCAGTAATGGGAGCAGAGCACTGCCTTTGGAATAGCTGCACCAGATGAGATGGAACAGGGGGAGCACTGGGGGAGAAGGGGGAAGGAGGAGACACCTCCGGAGAACAGGCTCATATGTAAACAGTAATGGGATATATAAATATTTGGAGAGCTGGGTTGGCCAGGACTCAGCAGTTCACGTGGGAACTGGCTGTTCCCTCGCATGGCAAGGGAGGCAAGGCAGAGCCACGGCTCCGGTCCTCGCTCCGGGCTCC